CCCATAAGTAGAGGACCTCACTCCACGATCAGGTACGATGATTTCTGACCTCGAACTAAACTGGGAATCCGACCTATACTGACTTGATCGTCGGAATGCTCACCTTTTTGTGCAGGTCCGCCCAAGTATTCAGATCGGTCCGGAGGCCGAGTTCGAGCTGCAATCTGAAATACATTGTTGTGCATATCCTTGCATAAACATGTCCAATGAAAGAAATAGGAGCGACGACACATGATCATAGCGGGACTTCCAATTGGATGGTTCTTATGCAAACCCCACAAAATGATCCTCACAAGTAGTTAAATAGCTGGAGATCGGTGACAAATCTGGATTTAAATCTAAATTGGGTTCCTTCAATAAWTTTTCCCTGACAATATATCTTAAAGAATCTTGGCTGTTTATATAGTCATCCAAGCAACGAAAAAAGACCTCACGCGTCTGACCCACCACACTTCCACTCTGTATTGAAAAGTAAAGGAATGAATTGTTATCGATGACAGCATAGTAAGTTTGGTTGACGAATATGGTGAGAAGACCAGTCAAATTTGATTTCAGACCATTACGAACATCCGAATCGAGCACATAAATGCAAAGCTCTTTTAATATATTCTTATTTGTAACTTTATTTTCAAATAATTAAATAATTATTTTATCCTACTTTAAAATATTATAATTAAAATTTATTTGTTGCCTATATGGCTTAAAGAAAGAAATTGTATGCATCATTACACGCCTAAACTTAAAAATAACTGAGAAAGAACCAAGAAGAAAGAAAAGAAAAGACCACATGGGCTCTTTAGAACATGTCACGGCGTTTTTTAATGTTGATCAAAAAGAGGCTAGAGATCCTTTAAAATCATTTTCCAAACTTTAAGGACTAAAAATATTCCTGGTAAAATTTTAATTAAGGACCAAATAGAAACCAATCTCAAAAATATTATGCTAAATTAATAAAATGGTTGAACTACTCACCTAAACAATTACACATTAATACAAATATAGGATCGTTACTTTTTAGTGGATGATTTACACATAGATTAAAGTTACGTTGGTCTTGGTAGTGAGTTTGGTGACATGTTCACTTCCATTTATAATTAAAATTAAAGCTTTTGAGTAACATGTTATCTTTTTGTTGGCTCACTGTTTTTTTCCATTTCCATATTCAGAAGCTTTTAATTCAAAAAAGCATAAGTTCATGTAAATTTATAATCAATTGGAATCCCAATTGTTCTGATACATATCCTTTTCTGAAACCATCAATACATATCACCTAGGGGTTAGACTTATTTAAAAAAAAAAAAAAAATTGATCTGATAATTTTTTTTTTTTTTGAAATCATTGGTCTGATAATTAATTTTAGGTTAATTACACGTTTAGTCCTTCAAACTTCTAGATTTGTAATAGATATTTGAACTTTAAAGTTTGTGTCTAATGTAGGTTATTGACCTATTCAACGCATTTTTAAAAAATTTGTGAATTTTAAAAAATGTTTTTTAGTGTAGGATTTATTAAGCATAAAATAAAAAATTAAGTATAATCTATTAAAAACAAAATTAAAAGTTTAGATATATAAGTTTATGTTTATGGACTTTTTAGATACTTTTTAAGGGACAAATCTCAAAGTTTATGGATTAAACTCGTAATAACCTTAATTTTGTTACTTTATCATCAAAATTTTCTTCTCACCTTAAATTATATCACTTAATTTTCAAACCCATTTATTGAGTTGTACTTTAATTATATTATAATGCAAAAAAAGGTAGAGTTATTTTTCATACCCTTTTTATAATTCATATTCTTCTGATTTTTTTTGTTTCTTAGGAATAATATTCTTCTAGATTTAAATTATAATACTATACTATTTTTTATAGCTACGACAATTATGAGAGAAACGTACTATAGAAAAAGAGAGCAGCTAGTAAGTTTTTAAAAACTTTGTTTGGATTACAGTTTTCTTAAGATTTTTTTTAAGAAGATATTTAAATTCTTAATCAAATTAAAAAAACATCGAAATACTTTTCTTTTTATCAGTACAACTTCTTTACCTCTTCTGCCCCGCTGGACTAAGCAAAGCTATCATATCCCAGACCATTAACATTAGTTCTCTCTAGAGGGCAGCACAACATCGATTAGTCTGTTAATGAAATATGTGATTCCCTTCTCTTTCTCGTTATCAATTTACTATTATCTATGACGGGAAAAATTAAAAAATAATCGCTTACGTGTGAAATTATAGAAGATCTCCTTTAAGATGAAACAATTCTATCAAATTGAGTACTGACACAGAAATATTAATAAATCTGATTATTGAAATTGCTTGGATACTTTTTTTCTATTTAGCTTCTGGAATCCTACTGATCTAACTCAAGAGTTGCTCCGTGTTGTTGAGGATCATCAGACGAATAAATAATTAATATTGAAAGCTACGTTTATCATATTTATCTAATAAAAAAAAAAAGAAAATTTCACAATTAGGACTCCATTAAATGTTCTATGCTCTTTTAAGTAACATCCCACCTAGAAATTAAAGCCAAGTATAAATCTAACACCTCTCTTTAGCAAAAAAGAAACAACCCAGCCAGAAAATTTAATTTTCTTCCATATTTATACTGTTCCTTCCTCACACGAAAACTCTTATTTGCAGGTGAATCAGTTTCTTGCTTCAATCCACTTTAACACGTCCCACGAAAAAAGAATTACAAATTGGTAAATTGTCAAATAAAAATGAAATATTTCTTCTGCACTATGAATGGTAAAAATTAACTTGGTTTACTTAATTATATTCTTTGTGTTAAGTCATTCCTAATGGGAGGAAAACTTGAAGATATTAAATTGTGAGAAAAGAGAATTAAGTAATCAATCCAGAATATGAACTTAATTAATTGTGATTGTATTTAACTGAGGGACTAAACTATTTGCTCAATTTTCTTGTTTGTTGAAATTTCTAAGTTAATTTTGGAAATTGAAAATTACTACAATTATATTCCATTTCCATTTATTAATAAATTCACCTTCATACGACAAGATTTTCTCCCATTATAAATACAGGAGTTGTATGTAGTTTCCTCTCACCTTCAAATTCAATTCTAGCATTTTCTTTCTACACAGTTTCTTCTTTGCTTCAAACTCAATTCAAGCTTTTTCTTCCATTATAAATATAGCAGTTGTACATAGGTTCTTCTCCTCAAATTCAATTCTACTTTCAAACTTCCTCTCTTGTTAAAAGTATTTTCTTCAAATTCAATCGTTTCGATATATCAGTCCAATTTCTTTCTTATTTCATACTATCATTTTTTCTCTTTCTCCATTCCATGGAATTCTCTCCTTGGGTAACTTTTAGGGCTACACTGTGTCGTTAGATGGTACTGGAGATTTTGTCCGAATTAGAGATGCTATAGCTGCGGCACCCAACGTCAATACGAGTAGATTTTACATTCATATCAAATCTGGGATCTACAGAGAACATGTCGAAGTTCCGGCGCAAAAAAACATCTGTATTGTTGATTGGAGTCGATGCTTCTACCACTATTGTTGTCGATAATCGAAGCAATGACGCCCCGGTTTTTTTGACTACCTCCACTGCAACATTCAGTAAGCCCTTAACTAGCTATCTTCTTCCATTAATATTCTGATTAAATTACCTGTTTTTCATTTACTAATATAATGATGGACATATTTAATTTGTAGATGTGAGGGCTGCCAATTTTACGGTTGAGTCCTTAACATTTAAAAATTTTGCAGGCCCAAGAGCTAGCCAGCTGACACTTCTCAATAAATGAAATGACACGGTTACCACGTGTTGCACAGTGAAGATGAAGCCTCAAGATTTGTAATTTTAATCAGACTGTTAATGGAAGAAGATAGCTAGCTAAGAGCTCACTTAACGTTGCAGACGAGGTAGTCGAAAAACCGGCGTGATTGCTTCGATTATCAACAATGTCTCCAATCAACTATACAAATGTTTTTTGTGCCGGAAGTTCAACATGTTCTCTATAGATCCCGATTTGATAAAATCTACTCACATTGAAGTTGGGTGCTGCAGCTATAGTATCACTAATTCGGATGAAATCTTGAATACCATCCAGCGACACAATAGTCCCAAAAGTTAAAAGACACCGAGAGAACTCCTCACGATATGGAGAGAGATAAAAACTAACGGTATGAAATAAGAAAGAAATTGGACTGACATATGGAAATGATTGAATTTGAAGAAGAAAGGAAGTTTGAAACTAGAATTGAATTTGAGGAGAAGAACCTTACGTAGAACTGCTATATATTCACAATGGGAGAAAATCTTGTAAGAAGTGAATTTACTAATAAATGGAAATGGAATATAATTGTACTAATTTTCAATTTCCAAAATTAACTTAGAAATTTCAACAAACAAGAAAATTGAGCTAATAGGTTAGTCCCTTGTTAACTTACAGTAAGTTGTTTTTGTTATTTCAGTCTTATGTTTTATTCTGTGCAAGAGTTCTTATTTATTTTCAATCAACTGTTACAAGTATTTAATCTAAAAAAATTAGATTTTAGATTTCAAGAAGCGAAGTAGACTACTAAATTCAAAAATTATCTAGTAATTAATTAACTTTCTGATTTCACAATCGAATTTTTCTCCCACTTAGATTTATATTACTTTCACACGTTATAGTTTTATTGTGTTCCAATTTAATTTTTGATATATTCCTCTTATTTATGTGTTACACTACTTTTATTGTATTAATTACTTGATTAGTATAAGAAAAGAATTATTTTGAGCTCACTGAAAAATTATATGGAATAACCCATTAATAGATGATAATAAGAAGATTTCTTTTATCACTATTTGATAACGAGAGAATTAGAGTAGAAGAGCAAGATAATATTGACATAGAATTGAGACTATTTTAAATTATCTTGTTTTTTTTTCAAGAATAATCATTCAGTTTCTTTTATTAAGTTAAAGTTTTCTAATTTTGTTTGAAATAATATAATTTATCTAAAGTCTTCCGTAGCGTAAATAAGAAGGGATCTTACAATTGTCAACAAAATAAAACTACAATTAATTAAGTTTCTTTTGTCTTGAATATATAACTCCATTGATTACTTCATTCTCTTTTCTCCAAGTTTCCATCCCATTCATAGGTGCAGATGAAATATTTCATTTTTATTTGACAATTTACTAAATAAGATGCGAAGAATATTAATTTGACGACGAAAATTGAAGTCCCCATTCCAATTTGTAATTTTTTTTTTTTTAAGTTTCTTCCTTCTGTCAAATTCCTTTCACACTTCTTTTTTTCTTAGAAATAACCATCCTTTCATGCATTTTATTTATTTATTGATATTATATTAATATTATTGATATTGCCATATTAGGTAATTTCGTGGGATGTGTGATCACAATGACTGAAACAAGAAACTCATTCACCTGCAAATAGGAGTTTTCGTGTGAAGAAGGAACAGTATAAATATGGAAGAAAATTAAATATATATATATATAAAATTAAAAAACTTCAGAAAGAAACAACAAAATTTCTGGTTGGGTTGTTTCATTTTTGCTAAATAAGAGAGGTGTTAGATTTATACTTGCTTTAATTTCTAGGTGGGATGGTTACTTAAAAGAGCATAGAACATTTAGTGGAGTCTTAATTGTAAAATTTCTTTTTTTTTTTTGGATAATTGAAACCGTATTTACGAAAATGGTCGTGTTGGGATTGGGAATGGGGTAGATTTTAGATAAATATCGATAAATGTAGCTTTCAATGTTGATTATTTATTCATCTGATATGACCATGAACCAGGAGCAGTTGTTGAAATCATCCAAGAAGCTAAATAAAAAAAAAAAAACAGATATCCTTAACAATTTCAATAATCGGGTTCATTGATATTCCTGTGATATAGTAGATGCTGTTTGTATAACACCTTTATCTTCACAATGGTATTATATTGTCTCCTTTTAGCATAACTCTTGCAGTTTTCCTTTTTGTTTCACCCAAAATGCCTCATCTATATACCATGGATCATGCTCTTTCTTAATCAATGTGAGACTTTATTTGCATTCATCTTATAAAATCCGACAAATTCGAATCTTCACTCTTACTAAAAAGCTCTCTTTAATGCAAATGAGAATTAAAAAAAAAACTTTTTTTCCAAACAAAATGATTCATTTATCTTCGGTATAAATGCGCAATATACTAYTACCACCCAAAGCTTTTCATATTTTAGAAGAGCAAGTTTTGAGAGAGAAAAAAAGATGAATATGTCACCTGTTCTTGTTTTTGTAGTGTTATTTGTTTGTGCGGTAGCTGCCGATGTTATGTATTCGAAAATGGAGGTGGCAAATGATTTTATCCAAGATACATGCAATAAATTTGAAGAATGGAAGGAGCTTTGTATTTGTGTGGTGGTTTCTGATGTTTGTGAAGATTTGAAATCAAATATGACTTCCATATTTGTCAATCAAAGTTTATATGTCATCATTGATAATTCTTACCTTTACATTTAAGTAAACAGTGGAACTRTGGTAGGTTGAACGCATCAGGTCTTTATTGGGTGCTTGTATGACTATCAAATGAGCCAAAATTCTTTAGGKAAAATTGACAAAATAAGCTTTTAAGTTTTTTAATCGTTCTTCTCAAAACACAAGTTTTCTAGTCATTGCTGACGTCACCTAGTTTGACAAATGACCTCTCATGCCCCTCCTTACTCTACTGCATTTTTAGTTTTCGTCATTTTCCTCCCTTATTTCTCTTTTTCTTTATTTCTTCTCCCTACCTTCATCTTCCTCCTTTTCCAGATTTTTTTCTTCTTTCTTTCTCTTTTCCATGTCTTCCGCAAGCATGAGTTTTTTCTTGTTTACTAAACCATTAAAAAAAAAACCTAAATCTCTCACCATTTTTTAAATAGCAGCCTCCATAATTCCCGCGACGGATGCATCAAAGCCGACGAGGGAGGTCGTTCGTCAAAGAAAGAGGCTCAGGAGAGGAAGAAAGTTACGAAGGGATGGGGAAGGAGATAGAGAGAGAGAGTTGAATAAGAGAAAGTTGAGAGAGAGAGAGAAAACGAGAGATGAGTGAGCGAGAGCGAGATTGAGCGAGAAACGATTTTAAAAATTGGAGTATATTCAAATTTTAAATTTAATTTAGATTTGTTTTTCTTAATTGTTTTTTTCCTATTTAATTATTTGAACGAATCATTTGAAAAATTAACATAAATCTCTCATTTAATATCTCCCCTAATTTTGATGAGGATTAGAATTCAAATTTATAATTAATTAGTAGTCCTCCTTTAATAGTAAATTTAAAATTTTATCTAATTAGGTGGGAGTATAAAGAAAAATCCTGTTTTTCCCTTAATCTCTTCCTCATAATATAAATCTGCTCCTTTAATCATAAATTTAAAATTTAATTTAACTCAATTTGGTGGAGTAAAGAAAAAAAAA